GATAAAGTTTTTTAAGGCCTCACTTGCCATATCATGAAAATAAAGTTTTTAACTCATAAAGTGACTTTTTCTTTTCATTACTTAAATTTAATAGAATAATTTGTCCAATATGTGACCATACTTGAGATAGTTACAGTGCCCCAGCATCAAAGGCAAAGCAGGCATAAAGCTGTCAGCAGATGTGCCTGGCTCCCTACTCCTTCAGGTGGGAGAACACCCTGGGTGTGGACCGTGGCCCCAATTCTCCAGCTGGTTAATGCAGCCGATCCCCAATGTTTACTAACCAAATGTTTACTAACAGAGCAAAGAAACAAAGTAAAAGACCATGTATGAACTTCATGTGTCCAAGCATCCATCTCTAAGTTAAAATAGAGGTGGTTTATAATATTTTTAGTCCCCTGGGAATGAAACGCCTTAGATGATTTCCCCTTGGCTAGCACACCTATTCAGGGGTGCATTGTCACAAAAGAAGGATGGATTATTTCAAAAATTCTTCGCTCTTTCAGGATCAGTTCAGAATCTACAAACACACAATACTGCACCAAAAATGCCCTCAGATAACATTTTTTGATTATGTCAATATGTAGAAATATACATATATCCAATATTGGTTAAGAAAAAAGGCAAAATACAAGTCCATAACAATGCAGAAAGCAACAAGAATTAAAAACCCATCATCAGCAGGGCTTTATCTGGGGGTTAGATGTTCCTGATTTAGCTGAGTACCAAAACAATTTTTGGAAGTTTGGGGTTGGTATTTCTTAAGAGGTGCACACCAACACGTGTTCAGCAGGACTGGTTTCCTCCCGCCTGACAAGTCCGGAATCCTCCCCACATGCAGGAACTCTGCCCGAACATGTCAGAGGCCACCTGGCAGGCCAGCCGCCTCTTAGGGAAACATCTATTTCTACAGAATCGGTTTTGCCCCCTTCGGAGAACATCTGGCTAAGAACAAAAGACGGGACAATGGGAAGATAACATTTAGAGAACTCCTCGCGATAGTCCAAGTGCTTGCTTCAGAATGTCAATGTATGTAGCACTTTTTGATGAGCACTGGAAAGTAGTTCTGGCACTTTCACAAGTCCCAAGGCTCCTCATCCAGTGGCAAGCAGTGCACCCATTTAAAGGGCCACACCAAAGCCTGTGAGAATGAGCACATTCACCAAGTTCAATGGAGCCCACAGTCCAGCCCTTCTCTTGCTCTCACTCTTGCTCCACCAGCACTGCCACCACCGCCTCCCCTGCAGTCTCCTGGGCTGCTGTCCTAGGCGAGCCATCTTTCCTGTTCCTTTCCAAAACATCATCTGATCACATCTCCTACTCCCAGGGACCTCAAGCCCAACAACTCCAATGGCTCCTCAATGCGCAAAGAATGACGTCCCTCCTCAAATTGTGTACAAGCAACCTCTCTCCTAGGTGCCCACTGCTCCCTGACCCCCTGCCACTCCCAAAGGTCACGTCCCCCATCCCTCCAGCCCTCCAACCCCTCCTCATCCTCCTCCAGGGAATGAGGGTGACAGCAGGAGCAGTGCGGACAGTGGCAAACTCAGTGCTGGTGCTGCTGACCATCCCCGGCCAAAACTCCTCCTCTGCCCCCCCCCCACCCCCCCCCCGCCGGACAGGGTCAGACAGGGCCAAGGGGCTCGGTCCTCCTGGAAGGAGCTCTGACCATAGACGCTCCACCCTCTCTCCTCTCATTCCCTCCAGTACCTCTCCAGGGGCAGGGCCTTCCTTCTCCAGGTCAAGACAATGTAACATACCCGCCACTGTATCCTCAATGACATATACAATAACAGCAGTTACCCCAAGGGGAAAAACAAAGTCAAAATATTTAAAATAATAAAATCCAATGTAGCATAAAAAGAATTTTGATTCATTATTTCTGGTTTTTATTTTTCAAGCTAGCACTTCCTCCCTTCAATTAAAATAATTAAAATTTACTATATTTACTCAACATGCACTAGATATGTGGTATTATGAATAAAACACTGCGAAGAGAAATTCATAATTTTTTAAAGTTTTAGTTTATATGTGTGACCTTCCCTGTGAGCCGTCAGAAAAAAATAAATTTATCTCAACAAAGTAATCCTGTGTTTCAACTCATTTTTTAAGATACAGGTATACATTGTTCAGCTATACCCAGACTACATACTATTTTTTTAGAGATAGAAAAAATTATAAACTACCAGGGCCCAGTGCACGAATTTATGCACTTTGAAAGGAACTGTGGGCCACGAGGCTGCAGTGGGCTCAGGGGCGGGTGGGTCTCAGCCCATCCTCCACCCCCCCGCCAGGTCCCTCTCACTGGGGCTCCTGGTCCTGTCCCCCCTCTGGTCCCACATGCTGACAGCGCAACCCGCGCACCTACTCATGGCATAAAGCGATTGGGGCTGGGGCCAGCAGTGGGTGCGAACAGGGCTGACACAGGCAGCAGGTGTGAGTGCCAGGCAGGACTGGGGACATGAGAGCCAAGAATTTTCAGTAACCACCGGAGGCTTGCCCCGATGACAGGAACCAGCACCCGGCCTTGGTCTGGCATCCCGCTCACTCGCTCCACCATTCCACTGTGGCCGACACCTACCATGTTCCACCATGTTCCACACTCTGCCACCTGCTGCCGATGCCGGCCATGTTATGGCTCGCCTCCTCACCCCCCCCCCCCCCCGTGGTCAGCGCGCGTCATAGCACGGTTGTTCGGTTGTTCGGCTGTTTGGTCTATTTGTATGTTAGGGTTTTATAGATATAGATATACCAAAAAAGCCATTTTCACAGAATATATCAAAGCTCAAAAAACTCCCTCAAATATAGTCTTCTCAAAAAAAAACAACCACTGTCACTATAACATAAAAAGTTCATAGAGAAAGTGAAAAACAGAAAAACTTAACAATGAAATAAATTACGGGTTGCTTAGCTTACAGGTGTTTTACATAAAACTGCTTTAAGAAAAAAAAATTTCTTTATAAATAGTCACAAATATTTCCCAAAGTCTGATACTATTCACACTGCAAGATGTTTAGCAGCAATAAACAAATGCTAGTGTTAACAATCAAATCCCAAAACTACCATATACAAATCATGCCAACAAATACCCTAAACAAACTCCTATGCATAATAGTTCTAGAAATTACACATTTGAAGGGAGAAGAAAACTGAGACATTAACTGTTTCTGCTATTCCCACCACCACTAAGACTTCAACTTCCCAGTGCATAACCATTAAAGAACTTCTGTGATACTAAGAAAACACGCATGAAACAATCAGGAAAATGTGTGAGAAGGCTTTGTGATTATCTACAAAACAAAAAAAAAGTACATTCTGGAGTGTTTATGGGTGAAATGGTTAAGATAAGGCGGGAGGAAGACCACAGATACCAGATTAGTCATGTGCTGGTAACTGTTAAACTGAGTGGGTAATCTATCTTCTCTCCTTGTATATGTTGAAATTTTCCAAAGTAATAAAATAGAACTGTTGTTTAGCAAAATCTCAGGCACTATTTTGTTCATGATTGTATGCCTCTTCTGCAGATTTTTTAATTCCTTAGGTTTGCACAATTTGAGATTTTCTCCTCAAAGGTACAAACTCTGTGGAGTCAGAGAGCTGTGACACTGCCAGAATCCCAAACACTTCCCAAATGCAGTGCAGGGGCCGGAAGCGGAGAGGCAATGCAGAGGTAAAAACCAGGAACCTGCTGGCCCTGCACAAAGATCTCCCTCTTCAAGCCGTTCACACAGGCAGCTTCCCGTCTGTCTTCTTCCCGTGGTGTGAAGGCAGACTGCGGCCCCGCCGGCCCAGGAACAGACGCCGGCCCTGTGCGGCCAGGTCAGAGACAAGCGCCGGCTCGCTCACTGGGAAGAGCACACTCCCCACTGAGATCTGGCCAGAAAAACCGGGTTAGAAAAAACCAACTCCGCGAACACACACTGGGGCGGGGAGTGTTACAGCCGTTACCAGGCCACGCCGGGAACCCAGCACAATCTTCTCCAGAACGGCCCACAGGCGTGATTCAGGCCGGGCCGGAGGCTGGCTAACAGGGCTCCCTTTCAACAGAAATCTGGCCGGAGCCCCAGCAGCCCAGCAACAAGGCGCAGGCCCCGCTGCCATGGCCTGGGACCACCTCCAGCCCAGACCGGCCGTGCAAGCCCAGGCGGGAGGCGGGAGCCGGGAGCCGGGAGCCGGGGCGGGGGTTCCAGTGGCAGACAAACCCTGTCATGAAGCAAGAGACAGACAATAGGCTCCACACTTCATCTGGCCCAAGAAATGCCCAAGTCCGCTTCCAACCCCTCCTCCATTGCCAAGGAAACAATGACAGTTCTTCACGGAGACCACAAAGCCCTGCTTCATGGGCACTTCTTCGCCGCCGCGCGCCCTCGCACAGCCAGAACCACGCCCGGTGCACAGGCTCCCAGCAAACCTTCAACACGAGAACCGTCCGGACGCGGGGCCCTAACAGGCCTGGAGGGCCCCGGCCTCGGCCCCGGCCCCGGCCCCCGCCCCCAACCCCGCCCCCGGCCCCGCACGAGCGGAGAGGACGCCCGGGAAGGCGGGGCCGCCAGGTGCCGGCGGCAGGCGGCGGGCTCCCGGTTCGGTCCGGCCCGGCCCATTGGCGGGGCGGCGGCGTGAGGAGGCGGCACCTTCCCGCCGCTCCCCGCGGTCAGACAGGCCCCCGGAGCCGGCCGCGGCCGCCCCCTCCGGCCGCACACGCCTCCGCGCGGCTCGTCCCGGCCGGGTCATCCCGCTCCGCGCCGCGGGGCCGGGGCCGGGGAGGCGGCGCGGGGCCGGGCCGGGGAGGCGGCGCGGGGCCCGGCCGGGGAGGCGCAGGCATAACCGCAGGCAAGGCCTCGGTGCCCGGTCCTAATGGCGCAGCGGAGGGCGGGGGCCGGCACGCAGGCTGCTGCTGTCTGAGGGCGAGGTCTCCCCGCGGAGCGCCCCGGCAGCGGCTCCCGCGCCCCGCCCCGCTGACACCCGCGGAGCCGCACGTCCCGGGAACAAAGCCCACTGACCTTATAGACTTGTCCGTAGGTGCCATTGCCGACCACTTCCACCAGCTCGAAGATGCCGGCCGGGTCCTAGGAGAGCGGGGAGGGTTACCGCGGCAGGAACAATGGGCGGCCCGGGCCGCTGCCGGCGGCCTCCAGACGCGGGCTCCGCCCGGCGCGCTCGCCTCAGCCGAGGGCCCGGGCCGGGCGCCCGCCGCCCGCCGCCCGCGCCCGCCCCCGCCGCCGCCGCCGCCGGCAGACAAAGGGGCGCGCGCCGCCCCTGCCCGCGCGGCCACTCACCCGCAGGGCGGAGAGGTCGATGTCCACCAGACTTTTCGCCGGGGAGTCGTTCGCCATTTTCCGTTCGCCCAGGGCGGGCGTCGGGAGAGGGTCGGCCGGGGTCCGCCAGCGAGGCCGGGCGGGGCGGGGGCCGTGCGCGGGCGCTCACACCATGGCGCTCGGGCCCCGCGCGGCGCCTGCGGACGGGCCGAGCTGGGCCGCGACGCCGGAGAGCCGAGCTGGGAGCGCGAGGCCGAGACAAAGCTGCCCGGCGCGGGGCGGGCGGGCGGGCGGGCGGGCGGGCGGGCGGGCTTGGAGCCGGCGGGGCGAGGGCGGGGCGGGGCGGCGAGGGGCGGGGCGGGCGGCGAGGGGCGGGATTTGGGGGTGGCGAGGGGCGGGGCGGGCGGCGAGGGGCAGGGTTTGGGGGCGGGGCGGGCGGCGAGGGGCGGGGTTTGGGCGGGGCGGCAGCGCGGGCGGAGACAGCTCCCTCGCGGGCTCGGGCCGGAAAGCAGGCGGAAGCGCCCTCACCGCAGCCCCGCCCAGTCGCGGGGCGACGCCCGGGGACGGGAAGGAGGCTCTGGGGGCGGAGAGGTGCGGCTCGCAGTGGCCAGGCTGCTGGAGGGGCGGGGCGGGTGCACTGACGATGCGCCGGGGCTCAGGTGCAGGAGGCCCCTAGCCCATGGGACGCGGGATGGGCGTACCTTACCCGGGTGCCCTCTCTCCCTCCTCACTCCCGCTCCTCCCCGTCCCTTCCCACACCCCGGATTCTCTGCTCTCAAGACCCTCATTTCTGATCCCCACATAGTTTTCTTGTCCTTGCTCTTCTTTGTGACTCGGTTGTAGCTGGGGGTTCGCTGAGCATTCCTTGACTGCCAGGTCCCCAAACTGTGGGTGGAAAGTTTCCAGATCAACTCTGACTGCCAGGTGCCGAGTGTGCTCAGGTGTCTGGGGTCATGGGCGCTAACCCAAGTTTTGTGCTTGAAGATCATTAAAGATCAATAAACAGGCATCTTCCAGCAACTTTGGAAACTTGTCAGTACTTAGACAATTTAATCCTATTAGCCAAGATTTTTTTAACCTTTTAACCAATTTTAATTATCTTAACCAAGAGTGTTTACTGGATGAAAGCTTTCAATGGCTCCCTATCACTTCACGTAGGTTCTCAAACCTAGGTGAGTTTCTGGTTCAGCAGGTCCGGGACAGGCCTCAGGGTTGTACCTCACAAGTCCTCAGAAGACTAACACTCTGTTATAGGGGGTTGCACTTGGAGACAGAGCCTCACAGGCCTCAGAGTTAGGTTTCCAAACATCTGGGATCATCATCTCCTGATTCCTGCTTTGCACAGGGTACAAGATTTAACCCCTATAGCCCAGGAGTGGTATTGTCCTTATTTTAGGGATGGGGAAACCCTTGTAAATGTTTCCTGAAAGTGGAGCAGGCCAGCCAAGTGAGTCTTACACCAGGAGACATTTAGCCTCCTGCCTCCCAACACTTTGGTTTCCAAGGTTTTCCAGTATCCGCCGTAAGGGTACAATACATTCGAGGACGCCTGGAATCCATTGGGAAAGTTATAGTAATCAGAGTGTTCCTTAGAACTTCAGAGTTTTTAACTGATTTTGCTTCATAATCTATCAGCAGCAATGCCATTATCTTTGAGTGTAAATTAAGTAATTTACTTAGAGAGCTAGACTGGTGCATATGTGAACTTTCAGACCATATTACTAGTAATAGTATTTTAGTAGTGTTTGTTATTCATGATGGATAACATGTATTGGGTCCAGTGTGTGTGATGAGTCCTTTACATGCATTATTTTATTATTCACTTTAACCCCAAATAATGGGTACTCTTATTCTCCCCACTTTCCCCACTAGGAAACCAAGGTCTAAAAAAGTTAAGTGACTTGCTTGGTGTGCATGCCTTCATAAACACCACACCTCTGCCCCCACAGGACCACAGCCTCAGCTCTAAACTCATGGCCTAGAGGCCTGCCTCAGATCACTCCCTTCTTTGCCCAGACAAATTTTCTCTGTTACCTCAGGCTCAACTCAGAAACCATCTCTTCCTCCTCCTCCTGATCTTCCTCTAAGTCTCTCATGCTGCTGCTCTTTCCCCATTTCACCACTGTAATGTTGATTCCCACTTTCAATCCAGTGCCTGTTCTTGAAGTACTACCCAGTACAAGGCACTGGCTAAGCCCTTCTTCAAGACACAAAGAAGGTTAAGACCCTCACAGCTTACAATCAAATAATGAGTGTAAGATTATTTCATAAATAGCTATAGCTGATGGTAGAACATCATAAATTCTGGCTAAACAAAAAGTGGCCCAATGCTGGGTTTAGGGCAAAAATGAACTGGATGTGAACCTTGCACATGTTGCCAACCTCTGAGGCTATTTCCTTTCAGTACGCTAGATGAAGACTAGAGTGATAGGGCAGCAAAGAGGCAGTCTCGGAGCACAGGCAGAAGGCCAGGCCTGGAGACGGGAGATACAGAAGTTCTTATCCAGTGGATTCTCTGAAGAGCTGGCTTCTGGTGGGATCCAGAGGCAGCGTACAGGAGGAGGTAAAAATGCTGTGGTGGGAGCCTTATTCATATTTGGGAGGAGGCTGGCACACACACAGAAAAGGACGGGAGAGTGTGCCCTGCCCAACATGCAGCTCTGCTCCAGCTGCAAGGACATGGGCCACGTTCTCAGGCTGCCTACTAACTACTACAGGCTAGGTGGCTTAGGTAACTGAAATTATTTCCCCGCAGTTCTGGAGGCCCAGGTTCCACAAGGTTTGGTTTCTGGTGAGAGCTCTCTTCCTGGCTTGCAGATGGCCGCCTTCTCGCTCTCCTCACACGGGCTCTCCTAGAGTTAGCACACGGGAAAACCAGTTGTCTGGTCCCTTATCTAATACGGCCCAACCTTTTGACCTTATGAATTTAAATTTAATTATGTCCTTACAGGCCCCATCTCCAAACAGCCACACTGGAGCTTAGGGTGGCAGCGTATGGGACACAAACATTTAGTTCATTACTAGCATTCGCAGCACAGGATGCCAGGGGGTGGGCTTCAGTCATGGCCCTGGTCCTCAAGGGTCTGTTTGAGAACCCAAAATAAACCCCCCAAAAAGGTGATCAAGACAATAATTTTTGGGGAAATATACTAAGTTAGTATTTTAGGCTGGAGGAAAATACATTGACCTCTCACATAGACAGAGAATGAGAAGCTGAGAGAATGAGGAAACTGGCCATCCAGGGCCAGAGGACTCAGGAGAACCCAGGAAGATAAAGCTAGATGGATTAGGTGAGACCAGAAGAAAAACTGAGGCATGGGTAATATGAGGTTTAAAATCAGAACCCAGGGAGGATCCAAGATGGCTGCTCGGGTAGACATCTAGCCGTGGCAGCACACAACAATTTCAATGGAATACAACTAAGATGTAGAGTGGACATTGCCCAGAGCTACAGGTAGTCGACTGACTGAAAATTCTACAACAAGAAGGAAAGAGAAAACCAGAAGGAAAATCAGAGGAGCTGAAAAAAAAAGCCTAAGGTACGGAGACATGCTGCGCGCCCGCCCGCACGCGCGCTCGGAGAGGTCGCAGCCAGAGAGGAGAGGGTGGGGTGCTGCCTTTCCTTCCCTAGCAGGAAGGAAATAAAACCCCCAGAATGGGCTGAACCCTCGAACAGGCAGCGCTGAGCCCCAGTTATGGCCCAGACCCTGGGGACCCAGGCTCCGGCAGGGGGAGATGGGGCTGTGAGGTGGAAAGTGGCGAAAAGCAGGGCCCCCGGAGTCGCGCGCAATGAGCGCAGAGGACTGAATGTTGACTCTGATGCTGGGTTACCCTAGCTGGAAGAAACAAGGCCTCCAGCGGCGCTGGGCCTCAGTCCGGACTGCTCCGAACCCCAGTTCTGGGCCAATCCCTGGGGACCCAGCCTCAGGCAGAGGGAGACAGGGCTGTGAGGTGGAGTCCGGGGAGAGCGGCGAAAGGACGGGCCCCCGGACTTGCGCACACTGTGCGCAGAGGACAGTCTGTTGACTCTGATGCTGGACTCCCCTAGCGGGAAGGAGAAAAAAAGCTCCAGGCTGGGTGAACGCGGCGGGGAGCAGGAGCCCCTGCCGGACGCCGGCCAACCGGCAAGGAGCTGGGCGACGGGGCCCCTGGGGGGGTGGGTGCCCCTGAGCCTTTGACCGCTGAGCGCGGGCAATGGAGCCAAGGCCGGGGGGGGGGGGGGGAGAGGGGGGGAGGGCTGCTTCCTGGGCGGCGCCGTCCCCAGCAACAGGCTAAAGCAGCGCAGGAGCCCGCAGAGAACAAAGGGGTGCCACAGGCCAACCTGCTGAGCTCCCAGGACAAGGAGGAAGAAACCAAAGAAGTTCTCAATGTGAAGAAGTCAGGTGAGAGCAAAAGATAGTAAAATTACTTAAGAAAGAATACAAAGAAGTTCTTGAAAAATCAAAGACTAATCAGAACTCAACTCAACAGCCAACATTGCAACATAAATGCGTTTTTAAAAAAAAGAAAAGAAAAAAAAGGACAGAATGTTGGAACAGCGGCGACCAGGCCTAGAGTGGCCAGGCACAAGGCAGTGGCAGCCAGGCCCGGAGCCGCAACGGCCAGGCCCCAGAGCAGCAGCAGCCAGAACCAGAGCATCAACAGCCAGCACTGGAGCAGCCAGACCTGGGGCAGTGGCAGCCAGGCCTGAGGCGGAGGCGGCCAAGCCCAGGGTGGCCAGTCCAGGAACACCCAGACCCGGAGTGGCCAGGCCCAGAGAAGCCAGGCCCAGAGCAGCCAGGGTGGGAGCAGCCAGACCCAGAACAGCAGTAGCCAAGCCCAGAGCATCCAGGCTGGGAGTGCCCAGGCTCGGAGCGGCCGGGCCCGGGGCAGCCGGGCCCAGAGCAGCCAGGTCGCGTGCGCCCAGGCCCGGAGCAGCGGCTGCCAGGCTGGGGGCGGCCAGGCCCGGAACAGCTCGCTCCTCGCCTGCCCCTGCCCCACGCCTGCCTCTCAGACATGGCTGGAAACTTTCGCGGGAACTTGGGGGTCTGCTGAATCAAGTGATGAAGGCTTAGATCTGGATGTGTTGAGTTAGTATA